CACTAAAACAGAAAAAACTAGAACAACAAAAACAAGCTACAACTAATAGACATTCCTCCCTCAGCGGAGACATCCAAGATAGCCATCGAACAAAGCCTTCCACTGGAGAATTCAGAGCGCAAGAACTCCGCTCACCACTGCCCGAAGCCTAGCGAACACGAAGACCCAATCCCCGAAAGACTCCAATAGGCGACTCTCACTCCAACCGCAGAAGCCATACTCATCCTCCACCCAACAAATACCTCAAACCGAGAATCTAGCCGACCCGAAATCACCAAACCACAGTGCCTTTGGAAGCCAGACAGACACCCAAGACTCGAGACAAAGAGCCGAGAGAGTGACGGTTCCAAGCCCAGCCGCCCCACACAATCCGATGGAAACGACCACAACCCACTGGAGTAAACAGAGCACCCGCGCCGACCGCAACCAAAAGCAAGCCGAGACCAATCGACAACAATAGAAGGCAGCCATCCCACAACACTCAGAAGCCGGTGAGAACACTTACCTCCCACAGTTTCCAACACGCATACGGAACGGACCCGTGCCAATCGACGGCGAGAAAGGCGTACCCTGAATCCAATGAGAAGCGTCGAGCCCATCATACCGACCACGGCGCCCAAGACCTCACCCACTTCACCAGCCACCGTCCTTCGCCAGCACCCTCCCGTCGAAGCTCCAGAAGAGTGGAAGCAGAAAGGGGATCTGCAAACCCTAGGTGCATCTAACGGTGAAGGAATGAACATGAGAGACGAGACCAGTTCGTGGGTGAGCGGCGGAGAACGTTCTTCGATTATCCCGAAATTCTGCCGGGGGAGAACAGGAGGTGCGATCAGATGATTCCGATGGAGGAGAGAAAGACTATTTTTCGGCAGAGCAAATCGGATAAATTGTTGTTTAAATTAAAGTTGTCCATTCTCATTTCTTTCATTGTGCTCCTTTCTCATTTGAGTGCACTTCATAAAATAAAATATTATTGAGTTATATCTTCACAATAATAATTTAATAATATAACTTAAAGTGCGTATTTATGATTATATTAATTGAATCCAATTTCTAATAGTCTTTCTCGAGACACACGAGCAAAATATTTTATACTCCACTAAAAACTACAAACATCAATTATAACACTTCTTACCGAACATTATATATTCGAACGGAAAATTTTATGGTAATATATTCCAATAGAATTTCCAACGGATATTTCAATGGTATAGCTTTCGTTGAAATGCGTTCTCAATTGGAATTTTAGATGAAATTTGATAATTCCAACATCTATATTTCCGTTGGAATATGCAATTTCTGTTGAAATTTTTATTTCCACCCTTGTTGAAAAATCCACTGTTAGAATCGTAAAAATTCAACGGAAATTCCAATGGAAAACTCATTGCAACGGAATATTTTTGTTGGAATTTTCGTTGGAATCCATTGAAAAATTTCAACGGAAATAGTAGCATTGATTTATCCATTGGAACTGTCGTTTGAATAATTATATTGAAATATATTTTCGTTGGAAATTCATCATTTTCTTGTAGTGGAAGTAGCAACATATTTTATATTCCGCTAAAAACTACAAACATCAACTATAACACTTATCTCCTTAGAGTTGCGTATTTAGATCAATTCATTTTGAATCTGATGATATGTTGAGTTTTGATTATGTTTGTTGATTAATCTTAGTTAATTTTGAAACATTGGTTGAGTTATTGGAGTGATATGTTGAGTTTTAATTAGATTTGTTGATCTTGGTTAAATTTGAACACATTGGTTGAGTTATTGGAGTGGATGAATATTGAATTAAAGTTAATATGATATGTTGAGTAAAATGAATGAATTGGATAATGAATTGAAGTTGATGCAATATGTAAGGATGATTGATTGTTGGTTAATATTTTCGTTATCTCCACCAAAAGCCAAATTACCCTTGGCCAAATATTTCATAACAAAAATAATAGTTGCTAAAACAAGTTTCTAGTGCTTTTCTCATTGTTAATTCTCACTTGTATGTCTTTGTCAATTGTCTTATTCTTACTCAATCTAAATTATACTATGTGAATTTCGCCATAATATATATTAATGTGACGAATTTAGATTTATTGTAACGTATCGCCACAGTACAAAATTTTATAATGATGTTTAATTCAAAAGCGTCATTATGAAAATAACAAATAGCGGCGATTTTTTTTTCTCACATGGAATTTCAACATATTTTATATAAAGGTGACGAATTTAGATTTATCGTCTTGTAAAGTACGATTATGTGATGAAAGCTAAATTATATGATGACGAAAGTAGTATTCATCGCAGTAGACAATGATGTAGTGGCAAATTTCCAAATTTGTCACCATAAGACAATCAAAGGTGACGAATTTGTTTCGTCACACGAATTTTGTCATGACCTGTTCAATTGAATTTCAGCATAATATGATTAATGTAACGAATTTGTTTTCGTCACGTAATTTTTTCATGACATGTTCAATTGAATTTCGGTGTAATATGTATTAATGTGACGAATTTAGATGAATTATAATTTATCGTCACAAAAAATTATATAATAACTAATTTATCGTATGTGTCATATTAAATATGAATAAAACAACGATTTTTTTTGTTGCTGTGAATTTCGCCATAAAATATATTAATGTGACGAATTCAGGTGTATTCTAAAGTATCGTCACAAAACAAAGTTATATAATGACGAATTACACGTAATCGTCATACTCAATAAAAAAAAATTGATTTTTTTTCATCCCAATGAGTTTCGTCATAATATGTATTAATGTGACAAGTTTAGATGTATTCTAATGTATCGCCGCAAAACAAAGTCATATAATGACAAATTACACGTAAGCATCATTTTAAATAAAAAAAAAACAATGTTTTCTTCGTCATAGTGACTTTCATCATAATATGTATTAACGTGACAATTTAGATGTATTATAATTTTTGCGTCACAAAATAAAATTATATAACGATAAATATTTCGTAAGCGTCATTTTTAATACAAAAAATGATATTTTTTTCGTCGCAATAAATTTCGTCATAATATGTATTAATATGACGAATTTAGATGTATTATAATGTCTCGTCAAAATAAATAACTATAGACGAATTAGTCGCAAGCGTCATTTTAAATACCAACAACAGTGACAACATTTATTTTGTCACATTGGATTTCGTCACATTTTATATAAATGTGACGAATTCAGATGTACAAGTGTCGAATTGAGATGTATTGTCATGAAAAGTACAATTATGCGACAATTTTTTTCAAGATGATGAATGTAGTAGTCGTCGCCGTATGCAATACGATGATAATTTTAAAATTCGTCACCATAAAGAAACATACAGTGACGCTTTTTTTCGTCACATGATAT